CCCTCCTGCACCAGGGGCTCACGGGGCTGTTTCGCATGTTTTTACCTCACTCCTTGCTGCCGGCCGCTCCTTTGGCCCTTTCCCAAAGCCCCTTCCCCTGCGGTGCCACCGGCCTCGCAGAGGGGCTGTGCTGAGCCCACTGGGGCAGCTGTTGGAACTGGCTGGGATATTTTGGGAACTGGCCGGCCACCCACCCCAAAAAACACCCTGACGCCTGCACACAACGCAGTACCAGGGACACAGGAGTGGACTTTTAGCCACAAAAAGTAAAGCAGCAAAGTTCTCAAATATGGATAATTTGATATCAACTTTAAATCAAATCTCTTCTGGCCAACGGGCAGTGGGGCCAGGAGATTTCCAGCAAGGTATCACATTGCCCAGCTCTATCAGTCAGACATAACTCAGATTTTAAGGGAACAATTCTAAAAAATACGTTTAATAGGATTTCTGTTGCAGGCAGAGTATGTACAGAAGATGCTACCACCGAGGGTGGTGGCGTGGCTCGTTGGCACTCAACCCTGAACACGGGGGTTTTGCCACCACTGCGTTGCACCACGGCAAACTGCAATCCTTGCTCATGTTTGTGCTGTGATGAAATGTAGTCTGTACCATCTGAACACGTGCACTCGAAGTGAAAGCAGGGCTGGAGAAAAGAACCACTTTAGGGAAACTATTTCTATTCTAAAAGATAGACCGAGAGCCCTTGGCTAGTGGAGAGCTCCTTTCGGAGCAGTCACCCCCTGGCTGCATCAGATTATTTGCCCGGAGGAGTCTGCAGTTTGATTCTCCCACTTGGCTTTTCAAGCCCTGCACATCCACCAGATACTCAAAGATAATCCAAAAAAATAAGTATGAGTCATCTAAACAGCTTGCACCACCTTGTTTTTGAAGTCTCCAGTGTTGACATTAAGGGACTCGTAATGTTTGAGTCCTTAAGAGAAATACCTCCAAGGATGAGGTCCTGGCTCTGTTGAAGTTGACGGTGACGGCCGAGCTCCAAGTGACCTCGCTGGGGACAGGATCTCGCTTCAAACACTTGCCTTCACGTGGTGCTTTCTGAAAACTGCATTTTAACAACTTTCAAAGGTTTTTTGTTTCAGAAAGATGAGTTTAGTTGGTCTCTTTCTGTATGTCTGTGTGGATGTTTACAGCAATATGACTGAGCATAACACAGTGGGCAACCCCAGCCACCTATTACGATATATTGCAGCCCATAGGCTCTGTAAGAGGTGGTGAGATAAGCTATGGGGGCTCCTCCTCTGAGAGGCCACCTGGATGTCTGGCTGACGCACGCCTTCAAGCTGTGCATACGAAGGTAGGAGCTGGGGCAGCTGACACATCTGAACTGATATAAAGAACATCGATTCTCTTCCCTCTATCTCTGGGAAGAGAATCCTGCGCTTCCCTCACACCTTGCGAAGAACTGGGAACTTCGTGGCTGAAGGAGTGTACATGAGCTCTCAAGCGTATTGCATCGCTGTCACACGGGAGCCTTTTAAGGCGCGAGGGTGTTATGGTGAAGGCACGAAGCCATAGGAAAGCTGGTCTCACTGTATCCGTTGCTCATGTGTTCACCAACATATTTTATTTGGTTCATTAGGCAGACGGGAGTGGGTAAATAGATGGACATTTATTGTGTTCAAATCATCAGTAAGTGATGCTAATGGTCTTTACGGGGATTTATTGCCCGGGTTACGTGGAAGATAAATTCTCTTATCACTATAGGATCTAAGCAATAAAAGCCAGTGTACAAGTCCTCCTAATCTCCGTGTTATTCCATAATGGAGTCAATAATCAAGCACAGGGCTATTAGAGCAGAACAACCTCCCACAAGCTTCCCTGTAAAAAATGAGCAAAAAGAAAAGAGGTCAGTTTTATTAATCAGTAGTGCTATCTTTAGACCCACTACAGGACTCCTTTACCGCAACCTAGCGATGATGTCAGCTTCCATGTAACATCTCAATACAATTTTCTGCAAGCTGTAGGTTCTCGGCATCTCTTGGCAGATCTGGACTCTGGGATGAGGCAGTGGCACCTTCTCCATGCACTTGTAAGGCATCTACCAAAACCTCTGCCAACACCTCATGCTGAAAGTCACAGAAATTCTGTATTTGTCCTCACTTTGCCATAAACCAAAAAATGAGTCTTTCACATGAAAATACTGGCCATGTATAAAGTAACAGTTCATATTCCTTCACCTCTTCAAATATCCCCCGGAAGATGAGCCTTATTAGCACTGTGAAGGATATATCAATACTTACCCAGGTTTCTTGGAAGATCTCACAAGTAATTCCTCTTATTCTTTTTCTTCTTTCCTTAAAAATAATTTTGTTTTCCTTCTACCCACTTCACATTGATACCTGCTCTCCCATTAGAGAAGTTTCTTGTATGCTCTGCTTTCTGACAAGAGCCTTTATTTCCTTACCTACCTACGTTAATAGAATCATAGAATGGTTTGGGTTGGAAGGGACCTCAAAGATCATCTAGTTCCAACCCCCTGCCATGGGCAGGGACACCCTCCACTACACCAGGTTGCCCAAAGTCTCATCCAACCTGGACCTTGAACACTTCCAGGGATGGGGCATCTACAACTTCTCTGGGCAACCTGTTCCAGTGCCTCACCACTCTCTGAGTGAAAAAATTTCTTCCTTATATCTAATCTAAATCTGCCCTCTTCCCGTTTAAATCCATTACTCCTTGTCCTATCATTATAAACATCCCATTCAGTTCCCCAATTCTCTTCTAAGTCTCCTCCTGCCAACCAAGCTGACCTAAACCAGATTCTTTCTCAAGTCATACTGTAACCTAAAAGGTGCCTCTCTACTGAATTAGAGGATGAGATTGCAGACATCTAGAATCACATCGGTCCAAACACTGTTAGAGTGGTAGACCTTTTGAGATTCAGGAGACGCTTTTAAAACAGGGCTGCATATAGACTGCAGATGGTGTTCAGCTATTTGCAAAGTACCACCACAAAAACTTCCTATACAAAAGAATGTCTTCAAACAAATGAATCCTGCTACCACCGAGTGACCAGAACTCTTAGCAGATTTTGTTTTCCATTTTTAAAATGTGTAGATATACACTCTAGAACTTCTCATTTAATCCTACATCATTCCGCTCAAAATCGAGCTATGAAGACTGTCCAGTTGCACCATTACCACCTTTGTCACTGTGAAGTGTTGCACCCATTTCACCTGCAATACCATAATAACCAATAGTTTTGGCTTCTGTTTCTAGACTCTGCTCTTAGCCTACGTTTTAGACAGCAGTTACCACAGCCTTGCTAATACCCCTGGATTTATTACCAGCTTTGCTCCCACTTAGGCTTCATTCTCCTTTCACAGCATCTTCCATACTGTCCTTTATAGAGGAAAGGGTGCAGTTTCCCTAAATCAGGCCCCCTCTTCCTCCCCAGTCAATCCATTTACATTTCACAGTGTTTCCAGAGGTTAATTCACAAGCAGAGAAGCATACTCTTCGTACCTACAGAATACAGAAAATAGAATTCAAATCACCCGTAAAACTTTTTTTAGTGTAACAAGCCTCTCCTCTGTGACTTGCTCAGCTGCAGCCCTCAAGTCACTCATTGCAGGGCCACACTGTTAAGGTACAGGAGCGAAGGGAGACAGAAAATGAGCTATACATTAGGTTTGTCTTAGGCTATTACAAGCTTTTAGCAGAGAAATTTATTATGGCAGAAGACTGACTACTCTGGCACCAACCTGCCTGCTACAAAATACTCTGGGACACGTAATTGTGTGTTTGAGTATAGAATCAACAGTATTCAAATTGTTTGTATTTATATACATTTCATCTGGTTGCCCTTTCTTTATAATTTTAGCCAACTATTGCTGTCAGCTGTATAATTTCCTCTTGGACTGTATCTGCTTATGTCAGTGGCAACGGTTACTCATCACGTACAAGAGTTTACAGACCTCGTCATCGCAAAGTGTCTGTTCTCACCATTTATTTTTCATAAGCCCTTTTTAAGCTCAAAATAGAACTAGTAGCAGAATTAGACCCATAATTAAAGTAAGGGAACATCTTTCATTTGCTTAAGTGGGAGTTGGATGATGGGAAATTCTGCTCCTGTCAGTCTTCATGATTACTGATAGAGAAATTCTCTTTTTCCTCTACCTAGACAGAAGAAGGAAAAGTTGGACAATGTAAAGGCACACAGCTCAATTTCAAAGAAGGATTCCCCTAAGGAGCTTCCTGAGGAAGCCTGGCTTTTTTGACCAAAAAAAAAAAAAAATCCAACGCAATATTTGATTGGTGTATTATATAGACACAAAAGCTAAATGTTATCTGCTGTTCGAGTTATGATTTTACATATATACATACAAACACAATTTTGAGATAGTGTGTGGGGAAAAAAATATATGCTGGAATTCAAATCTCCACAAAGAGATATTAAGCAAGTAAGAGGAAGAAACAATTTATCAATTTACATATTTTACAAGCTATTTTGCCCTACTTATTCCATGAAAGAGTGAATTTATGCCAAAGCTTACATGAAGTCGACACTGAAAAGCACATTTTTTAGAATGAAAGCAGGCTAACACCGTTACTTTAACTTTTCCAAAAACACCACCCTTTTCAAACGTGGGTACTTACAAATTCATGCACATGATCTTCAATTTTTCACTCACGACATAGTGGAGCTCCCACACCACCATTAAATGCTGCATGTTAGAGCAATACTCATGGCTCTGACAACACGGCTTCTTTGCTGGAGTATTTCTGAAGCGTTGTAGTTTGCGCTGCCAAGGCCTCGGCCAGCGTGAAGCAGCACAGTTCTTAATTTCATCGGACCACGAGCGTATCAACCGAGGATCCAGCCTGCTATCTCAGCACAAACTATTTCAGAGAGATGCAGTCCGCTTTTTGGTTCCGCAACCTGGAAAGCCCTTGTTTCTTATTATTTACAGAACTGTACTGAAACATCTTCAACTATAGGACTACACTGATGTCACGACTGAAAAAAACACACAAAGAGGACAGTATTGCCATGTATGCTGTAACGCAAGAGTGAAAGTGAACTCAGGCTATTAAAAAAATTTATTAAGATTTTAATCCATGAAAGATTGGTACTACAATCAATGTAACCATTTAATCAGTCAAGTATGTCTGTTATAGGCAGGCACAACATTACGAAACAGGCAAGTACAATGCCCGATTAAGCGAATACAGTCTGAATATCTATTCATCCACTCTTTCTGAAAACAGAATTATCAAATATCCACCAGGGAAAAAGACGAACTATTTCAGTTTCTCTTTGGCATACTTATCAGGACAATGAATTAATTACAGAAGTCTTCTATTGCTGCCAGCGCTGCAAAGAGAAAAGTACTGAATGGAAGATTGTACGTCAGAACTCACTTTTAGGACTCAGGCAACCTGGCTAAGGTATCAGAACCGGTGACAAAAGACAGTTCAGCTGCCAGTGCTTCACAAGGCAGACAAAGGATTACATTGTTTTATAATGCAGTTTTGTTGAAAGTATAAAAAGAATTACAGTAAATTTATGCACAGTACATACATATTACACACAGTTATATAAATACCCATGCTGTGGCTGGACTTCAGGAAGTTGCTTTACCAATAAGAAAGCTAGTATCAGACCTCCCAACATCCATTTAATACACATTGCACTTCGCATCCAGTAATATGTTCAATTTCTGTACCTCTCTTAAAAATAGATTTAAAACAGAAGCGAAGAATAAAATCGAATCTTTCCATAAACTTTGTTTTCTTATTTACAGTGTAATATTCCATTATACATAAAGACTGCGTTACGATACATTATCTTCATATAGCTTTTTGTAATACATACAGCTTGAAGCTATTAACATTTTAGTTTGGGAACAGAGATATGACCTATAAGACTACGTAAAAACAATTCTAGCCTTAACCTTGCTCTAGTTTGTTTCACTGAAACCATTCTTTGACAAAAAAAATTCCTCCTTATTGGGGAGGGAAAAAACCAACCCATGTTTAAACCACCACTGGATTTCCTTAAACCATTGAGAAACTTAGAAACCATAACCATTTTTGCATAATTACACAGCCACTTCAAAGGTCTGTTACTTTCAAATTTAGAACATCAAAGACAATTGTGACCATATCTTTAAATTAGTTAAAAAAACAAAACAAAACAACCTTTCGGTTATTTTTCAAACATAAAGCAATGAAAATGCAATCATTAATCATATATAATCTTTGCACAACTGGGAAGAGTTCCTATTTTATTAGGGAAAAAATGAACATAAACACACTCCCATTCACAGAGTGAGAACATAAACTACAGCAGCACTTGTCTCAAGTTATGGTGCACGTGGTTGCAATACGGGGTTATAAAACAAGAGTAGAATTTCCAACATCTGTTAAAACACAAAAAAACTTATTGTACAAAAAGTCATTCACATTCTTTGCAATGAAGTGAGGAATCAGCTGTTCAGCTTTCTGGACTCTCCAGCCGGCAAACTCCTCCTTCTATTGCCACGGACTGTCCTGCCACAGCTCCAGGAGGAAGTCTTGAAATGTGAGTCTGGAAAAGTCAAGAGAGTATTATTGAGTGAGATGAGAAGAGAGGCAAAACTATGCAGGACACAAAGCAAGACTGTAATTATTGAACAATTAAGCTGCTCCATCACTGAAGTCTGAGGGCAAACTACAAAGCAACTTGAAAAGCTACAAAACAACTGAGATTCTTTTTTTACTTTGCTTGCGTTAATGTTTAACACCTGAAGAGAAGGACCATGACAAATGTGTAGAAAAGGTAAGTTGGATGACCTAGTGCACTGTAAGTAGAAGAAAGGAATATCCAGCATGGAGACCAAAGAAAAATAACTGTGCCATTCCAAGGTTTATAAGTCTATTTCTTAGGGAGATTCAAAAAAGTTTAGTACTGCATATAGAAACATACCTTACAGAAATCTTAGAAACAATAAACTATTTGACAGAGATAAACTAACACTTCAGAGCATAAGGCAACTGTGATGATCAGGATGCAAAGACAACATTTCTCTGCATAAAATACCTACTTGTCCACCTAAAAAACTCAAAGACTTCCTCTAAAATATTTGTTGTCGACTGTCAAATAAATGGACCCAAAGAGCAATTGAGTTTCTGTCAACAGGTATCTTTTCCATGGAGAAGTTACAAAAGCAGGCCTCTGAGATGGCTCTCTCATCTTTCAGCCAGAAGGTAAAAGCCAGAAGTGGGCACACGTGTGTGTGTGTGTGTACACAAAACTTCAGCTTTTAACTCTATTGTAACTCAGTGACATTAAAAATCTGTTAAAGATCCTTTATATTGAGGTGCATTTTATTACTGATGAGCAAAAGCATTCAATTATGAAAGATCCTTTGACTTATTGTTACAAGTAATTACTTCCCCCCCGCCCTTGCACACGTTTTCATACTGTGAAAACTGCTCATGTTTTTATCCACACTGTTGATTTTGAGCTACAGCAAGAGCCAGTTATAGATACATCAATTGCTTTCACATAGGGCCAAGTGGCTAAAGCAGTGTTTAAACAGAACAACAAAAGGAGTTAGAAGTGTGTTTCTACAACTTTACTGTTTCCTACTTCCAGGGCTGCTGAATGGGTGCTGGTAAAATACACAAAAAAAAGAGCTTTAATGGAACTCCAAAATGCAATAGAGCTGATAACAGCATTTCCATGGGCTTGAGGCAGAAAGTGCCAATGGCAGGGACTCACCAGCTCGAGCTACACTCCAGCCATCCCTCCCACCAAAGCAGGAGCACTGGCCTTCATTCCCCTCGCGAGTTACACATCTCATGGAGTGATTCACTAATGCTCAGACAATGTAACGCTTAAACAACTATTAAGTTAGGAACTAGAAATGATTCCGACTACAGTATAAAGCTCACAACGTAGAAGTTGCTGGCATTTCGGAATCACAGCTTCCTGTGAGTGCAGCCAGCTATATAGTAAAGTTTTTGTATGTATGTTACTCCATTTAAAAGATTTAAGTGCTGCAAAACATGTAACTTGCAATGAGGCAACGGGTTATAACAAAAAGCATAGATGTAAAAGTTCAGCAAGAGTGACTTGCATTAATTGAGCAGAAAGTTATTTCAGACTGTAACCACAACTCATTGCATAGAAGAGACATTTTGCATCTCATTTAATTCTTTTCTAGATAAGGGTATCTTGGTGTCTGCTCTTAGGTGGTCTTGTTTTCAGTTAAATTACAGAATGAGATTTAATTAAAAACATTTCAAGATTTTCATTTTACTGCTAAAACTTTGATCTCTGCCCTTCCTGCTTGATATATGAACATCTTCCTATTTTCAGAACAATTTTGGTTACAGCTGTTATTTACCACTTCAAGAAGAAAAGATTCCTTTCAAATCTATTACAGTTTCCCCCAAAACGTAACTGACAATTTTTCAAGACGTTATTTTGCAAGTTTAAAGAAAAAAAAAAAAAAAGAAAAAGAAAGAAAAACAAGTGCAAGAAGAATACTTTTTATTTTATGATTGACAGACCCAAGACATTTTTCCAGGTCTGTGAAAATTTCTTAATGAGAGGTGGGATAGGATGACAGTGTAAAAGCAGCACTGTTCATCGGGCACAGTAGCAAATTTCCTCCATGGAAGAATGCCACTGATTGTGTGGTGAGGTACTTCAATCAAAGCAAACCAGCGGTTCACTGTAAGGGAGGCATGATTTATAAGGAGATTGCTTGTACAGTGATCAGTCAGAATTATGAGCAGATCATTGTGGCAATACAATAAAAAGCAGAGAGGCCCAAGGATGCTGCCAAGAGGCATAAGAGAGGAAACTTGTTACTGAAACAGAAGAAATATTAGCACTATCATGAATCTTGCAATCAATTTTTTTCATTATAGCTACAAGAGACTTGATTTGTGTAAATTAGTTTTCTGTCTCAAGTTATGGATTAACCTCTCGCATAGGCTTGACTTACCCCACAACCTGAAGTTAAATGCCTAATAGACCCTTCTGTGATTGTGGGAGCAAAACGTGAGGCTTCATTGAATCCACATGAAATATATAAATGTTGTTATTTTAAAAAGTTAGTTAAGCATAATATTCCAGCAAGTTTTTGAGCAAGGAAAGAAAAAAATACAAGAGGGGATAAGCAGATAGTCAACACCTATCAATACATTATCAAACAGCTATGCTTAAATAGCTGTCTGAAACACATTTCCTATACAAAACCTCATTTCCTAGAAAAGGAGAAACACGTTTCCCATCCAAAACCCCCCAAACCACTACACACTAGCATCTGTACATTTCTATTTATAGAAACACCCAAACCACATATAACAAGACCTTTCTTGAAGCCTTTACTTGCATCCTGTTTATTTGCACACTTTATATGACGGAGCAAATACAGATGCTGTTTTACACTGACTACTTATTACTTTCACCAATGGCTGCCTTATGTAGAACAAAAACAAGGCAGATCTAAGATGACAGTGTTTAAAATATGTTAGCTAATAAGTAATATGAAAGGATAACATTGCCATGTCAAGATAACCTCAGATAAACTCCCAAGTGAGTTCTTACAATTGCATCTCCCTTGTTCTTAGCCATAAGAACAAACTCTAGTAAATAAAAAGAAGGATCAAAGAACATTTAATATTCTTAAATGCAACCACATAACTCATTTGTACAGTTTGTTACATTTTTATATCCCAACATCATATTTTACATTAAGTCCAGATTGTACAGCGGATTAGGTTTACATTTTTAAAAACATAAAAATAAAAAGCAAACGAAAAAGCACAACACTGGAAGGCTTTTAATCGAATTTGATAAGTCCATCAGCTTTACAAGTTGACTGAAACCCTATCTGGGGGAAATTATGCCTGGGAGCACAGAAACAGGAAAAGAATAAGTTTTCCTGAATTAATCCTCCGCTCACCTTCACGAAAGTCTCTCTTCGAGCAAACTGTATGCTAAGGAAAGGTAAATTAAGAACGACAGGGCTATCTGTATCTTCAGCTCCATAAATAGAAATTTTAGTGTCCCTGAGAATATTCTGATTTGGTTTGCTTTCCTAGAGAAACGTGAAGTTGGCGAGGGCCTAACGGGAGCAGAGGCCCTGACAGGTGGGAAACCAGTTAGTCACCACACATCTTTGTCTGCAGCTTTAAGGAGGAACCTCATGCCCACAGTTCAAGAGCAAAAAAGGTCAATGTGAGACGGAATATTTGATTGTGCTTCCCACCCCTCCATAAAGCACAAACAAGCTAACCAACCTGACACTGATTCTTGCTCCACGTACTTGCCATCCAAACACACGTTTCT